GGATAGCTGTGTGCATGAGCATGTTTCCTCACCTGTGCATGTGTACACCAGTGTATGCTTATGTTATTTGTTTCATTTTCAGCCTATTCTAAATATTAGTTAAAAATATGATTTATATTAACAATCTTACTGTGATTTTTGCTGGCCTCTAAGCCTTGCATCTTATGTCAAAAAGGAATGGAGTGCTTTAAGGTTTTCATTGTGTTTTAATGTTTTCCACCTCAATATCTCCAATATAATGAAGAATAGGACTCTAATATGGTACTGTAGAGTATAAAATTTAGAGAAAGATAAAATTCTTAAGTGTTTTTCAAAGTCTGTGAACTGTAGACTGCAATGTAGAAGGATGGAAATTACACACCTTATTTACTACTAGTTTTACAACTAGTAGTAAGAATCAACAGATTCATTCCAAAGTATCATATTTTGCATTATTCTTTGTTTTTAGTTCAGATTAAAAACTTCACGGAATAAAATCTGTGATTTAATAACTTTCTATTTTTCAAAAAGGGTATTTTTTAGCAAGGAAAGACAAGAATGAGTAATTTAATGCCATCTGAAATACATAGCATTAATACAATATTTTAAGTCAGTCCAGCTGGCTGCAGATCAAGAATACCAGACAAAACTCAGCCAGCTCTTTCCATAAAAGATCCCTTTCTTTTGTGGGTAATCAAGCTCGCCTTGTCAGTTGTGCAATCGGCTTGCCTCTAAAAACCAAGGTCTTCTTTTCAAAGAAATTATGAGCATCTTGACACAAGTGTGTCAGGAAGGAGCGAGGCTGGTGGTGCCATGATGGCCCTAACTGGGGGGATGCTTGGAGTGGAACCTCCCTCTTTCACCACAGGGGACCGAACTGGCACTAATGGGAGTCTGCTCTGCTCTGGAAACTAGCAGAGGCTTTAAATGGGAGCACTTACAGGGAAGGTGGGAGTGATTCAATCCCACTGAGGCTATTCAGAGAGAGCACAAAGATAGTTTTGTGTACTACTTCTGTGCAAAATTTTTGCTGTGAAAATTAAAATAGGTTTTACTCTTAACAGTACATACTTCTTTTCAAAATGTGCCATTTGCTTCAGCTCTACTCATCTGAGAGGTATGTGGGAAAAAGGGCTACAGTAGGAAGAAAAGTGTGTGTGTGTGTGTGTGTGCGTGATGTAAAACAGTGGCTACAGGAAAAGGGGTAAAAGACACTTAGAAAAATACAGGGTTTAAGAGAGCAAGGAAGTGAAGGGAATCTGCTTCAGTTGTTTTGCCATGCCCTGATAAGAAACGATGGACGTATCAAATCTAAACTAGTGTTGTATTCCCTAACTGGTTTCTTTTGTTTGAGTATGTTAAAATCATTGTAGTGTACTGATAAAATGTGTATAAAACTGTTGCAACCTTGAAAAAAAGGAGGAAGAGGTACCTTTTAGAAATACTGTGATAAATATTGCCTTTGTACAGTGTTTGTTGTTTATCCATAAAGTGTTCAAAATAAAAAATATAACATTATGCACAAGAACATTACATTTTAAAATTGCCAGGTGTTCTCCATGTAGAGTGCTGTCGGGGCATCATGTTAATAAACAACCTCAGTTTGCAAATGCAAACACAAAGCATCTTGATAGTAAAAAGACAAACAAGCACTTGAAGACATAGGAGTACATAGAGAAAAAAATAGTATTATTCTTTTCAATGGCAATATAAGCTCCAAAATTACAAAAGTGAGTAAAAAAATGACTGAATCTCATTTGTATCTATGTTCTCAAAAATATTTTAATTTTATTAGCATTGTTTGCTGACAATAGCAACAGGGCTTGTGAACAGTTTTCTTTGTAAAAATGTTTGGATTTCTTCTAATATGACCTTAACTTTGGGGTTTTAATACTTAATTTATGAGTAATTCAAGTATCCCTCATTCTGGGAACAGTTACAATGCTTTCTGTTCTAAACATATTAATATATTCAAATTTAACTATCTCCTTTATCACACCAGTGAGGATACAAATTAAAAGAAATATTGTTTTTTCCAGTTCATGACCTAGAGCATTTCCTCTTTGTGTGGAGACATGTTAAAAATAAAATCTCCAGACAAATAACATCTCAAGTTTGACTTACTGTATATGTTTGTGATACATTCCTGAATTGCCCAATGCAAATGCCTAAAGGCAGAAATTAAGGTTGCAAGGGCTGTCTTTGTCCAGACACCTTCTAATGTCTGAGTTTTGACTTCACAATGGCAAAAGTAGGATTTCTGTATAAATTTATAAATGTAATTTATATTTTTATGTTCTAATCTGGGAGGTAATTACCTATCAGTGGGGAAAAATATGAAAGACTGGATGCAAAGGAAATACTGTGTTTTCAAAAGAAAAATTAATTTCTAATATCTTGCTGTTTTTAGATCATATCACACATCAGTAATAAAATCTCAGAATATACACACAAGGGAGACACAAAAAAAGCAAATAGGCTATATAGCTCTTGAAAATTTATTAGATAATATCAATGATAAAACTGTCTAAACATAAATTAATCTTATAATAATATTTATTTAATGTGTTGTTTTGAATTTCTAACTCAAAATTAGCCTTTTTTATTTGTATGTGTTAAATTTTTGGTATAATTCTTAGATGTTCATGTATACAATTTAATAGTACCCTGGCCAAAGAGAAGGTGATTATTGTGTTATTCAATGAACTGTAAAATAGAAACTATAGTTAAAATGTTAAAACTTCTCGTGACGATGTCAACAGCAGACAGAACCATAAACCATTGCTAGGACTTCTGAACAGAATAACTAAATTCCATACTGATAATACTGTTGTTTTCTGAAAGTGGTGTTTGCCTGAAAAACTAGCCTGTTGTATCAAGCCTGAATATCACTTTGAGCAATATTTTGCCACCTCTTCATCTCAGAAGATTCTTCTCCAGCATTCTCAATCTGTTACATGCAGAGCGAGTTTATACTTTTTTGACAGGATAAGTCAAACAATTTGCTTGGGAACATTCCAGATTGTTTTTTGTCTTCATGTAAAATGCCTGTTATCTCTCTACTCTGCAAAAAAAAAAAAAAAAACCCACAGAACAAACTAAAAATCCCCACCCAGTCACCACTAGTCATTTTGTTCTGGTGTGGCAATTAACTTTTGGGTTTTGAGTCAAGAAGAAATTTTAGGTTGATTAGCCTATACCAAGGGGTATATTTCCAAGAAGTAGTAATAGATATAAATACACCATTAGGGGACTATGTAGGAGGCTACTTTTGATAGTAGCACTGGCCCCCTCTGAATGGGTAAAGTGGCTACAGTCTCACCCACGATGGCAAAGTAGCCCCATGCCACAAAGGAGGTCATGTCTCCTTTGTTGGCAGACCTTTATTAGTTCCACTGGGCCTTCTGCACCCCTGCAGATTATAAGAAATAACTGTTCTGACCTTTGCAAACTTCAGATATCAATTTAACATCAGTTAAAATGAAGATGCATGGAGTTTCAATGAATCATTTGGGATATTGTGTTTTCAGTTTGAAAGAAAGTGAAGCTTAGCCCATTTCACTGATTGCTGCATTATTTGAGGTAATATTCTCTCAGGGTCATTCTAAACACAGTTAAAGTTCACCAGGAGGTCCTGCAAATTCATAAGCTTTTTCAGCAACCCAATCCAAAATACTACGCTGTAATAAAAAAATTAAATACACAGTTTTCCTGGGTTTGGTCTCTGCTACGAACATTGTTCATAACTCCACTATGGACGAACAGATTTGTGTTTCTGCTGTTATAAGAGTTAGTTAAATAACCTTTCTCACCTCTGTCTTTCATAAAGATCATGTAGACCACATTTTATATGACTATTTTATCGGTACAATTCCTTTAATTCTACAGGAATCATTTAACTCATGTTTCACAATGTCTTTGAAGTCTATAAAAAACCCACTAATAGAATTGTAATGAACTAAAGAAGTCACTGTATAGCCTGAAAAACATTTAAATTACTATCAAAGAGGCTGATTTAGGCATTTATGTTGCTTAATTCTTGGACAGTGAAGTAATTATAACATCTTTTTTCCATTTCTTAAGAAGGTTTTATAAAAGTGTTATTTTAAGTGAGTTAATGGTACTTCCTATTTTCTAACTTCCTATTATGAAAACCCATGCATGAACCAGTGAGGCTTTTCATGTTCCTAAATTTTGAGGCAAGGCTAGTTTGCTAACATTTGTCTCAACTCTCTGTATAAGAAGGAAAGACAGGGAGGAACTCCTTGAGAACATTATTTAGTCTATCTGGCAAGATTTTGCTTTGAGTTGGTCTTTTGATGATCTTCAGACAGATATCCATTTGCTACAAACGGAGTATAGGGAAATAAGCTGCATAAACTAGGTTTTTAAGGCTGTGATGTGAATACCCCTCATCCTTCTCTCTTTCCAGTGAGAGGACCTACAATGCTGTGTTTACTATGATGTTAACGTATCTCATGTATATCAAGAATTTCCAACCAAGACAGAAATCTCTGACAAGAATTGACAAAACACAGTTATGCTGATAAGTTCCACAAGGAAAAGTAGTTGTGGTTATTCTCAGCTTGAAAATGGCTTCTTTGAACTTCCTTCTCTCCCATTTTGATCATACATTAACCTTCATCATTTGTATTTATATAATCAAAATGATTAACTTGGGGTGAATATTTGGAGGAGTGTTTAGAACAGTAGCTCATTAAAGAGTATGTGTATCAAGGAAATCATAAAGATGCATTTGCATGAAATAAATGTGCTTTATTAAAAATTTAATTGCTATAATGGATGTATATTAAATATTAATATAAAATGTTTTCCCAGCAGTAAGTCAACGCTCAGTGAACTGATTACACAAAACAATATTTTTCCCCAAAAAGAGATTTTTCTGCTTATTATTCAATGTACTTTCATGCCAAATTAAGAAACAGAGCTTTCTTAATTTAAGCTTATTTTTAGCATGTAATGATATTTCAGATTTAGCAACTATATGTTCTGTTCTTTAGGAAGTAACAGAAGATCGGGATCGATCACGACTGGATTCAATGGTGCTGTTAATCATGAAACTGGACCAGCTTGACCAGGATATTGAAAATGCTCTCAGTGCAGGCTCTTCCCCATCCAGCACCCCAACATACAAACGGAGGCATATACCCGTAAGCCAGTTGGCTTCATCTTTCATATTACTCTGAGTAGAATCTGGTTTTACTTCAACTTTTTCTTTCTTTCTTTCAGTCCTCACATTTATCAGCTCCTTGGTTTCAGAACTTAAAGCTCTTTTTGCGAAGAATTTGTCTTGTATTTTTGTTTGTACATATATATGTTTTGAAGGCAGTAATATTGGCATCCATTTTTTCCTTTTGGCATCATTTCATAAATAAGAGCTTCAGAGCTCCCAAATGAAAGAAGGGGAGATCAACAAGATTCAAAAAATGTCTCGCTCTCTAATTATCACTTACTGTAAATGTGGAGTTAGCACAGAGTCAGGATCACACCAATCTCAGAGCATATGTGTTACATGTCATTTGACATTAAATAGTTAGAACTGAAACTAAGTCTGAGCTACAGGTCTTGTTTTTCTGCTAGTGGGAGGCTCCATGAAATCTTTGGCAAGCACACACTTATTAAATCCTCTGTCATTCAAAATAAGATTCTGGGCAGAACTGTGCACTTTAAATATTTAAATTTCTTTAATTATTTTATTTATTTAAATGCAAGAATTCCTTGTTGAGAGTAGTCTGAACGGAGGCTGGACAGCTCACAAACATGATTGATGCATTCTTTCTTTCTGAAAAATGTTTACACGTGTAACTATGAAGAACATGAAATGGCTGATCCAAGGTGCTCTTGTGCAAGCTTCCTGTTAATTTCACCCACATGTGCTGCAGCTGTTTTTCAGTTTAAGAAACCTGAGAAATACTGCCCCAAGATCTCTAGGCTAACATTCAGGTCATTTGTTTTTGTTAGTGATATTTTCTTTAAAATAATGAGGGTTTTTTTTTTATTAAAGCCAGACTTCATTATTGCTATGTAGTCAAGTGAGTGGTCTGTAGATCAGAAAAGCTGTATTTAAGTTTCAGTGGGTTTGGTCAGCTGAAGATTATATAATATATCATTTTTAAAGGACACAACATAATTACACTTTTAATAGTTAACCATTTTTCCCCTGGATATCAATGTTCTTGTAGTATCTTCTTGAGCACTGATGTCACAGGAGAGCTGAAATACAATGTTAACAATTGTTCTCCTTATCTCACCAATGCGTGCCAGCATTTTAGATAATTTCTTACAGCAATAAAGGGAGTTGAGGCAATGTGTGTAAGTAAGCCTGCGTGACAATGAGAGCTGGTACCTGTTTCCATGCTGCAAAGCAGCCCTCCAGAAAGATAGTTTGCATCAAACATAGTATATATGCTATTTACAGACACTGATTTTCATGCACAGGAATTTTTGAGCCTTTGAGTATTATGAACAAAAGGATCAAAAGATTTGGTTTTCAGTACATTTATGCATTGTGTTCAATCTCATATTGATTTTATAGTAATGAAACATTTGAATGTGATGAATAAACATGGATAATAAAGCAAGGAGCATGGTTCTGCATGGCGACAGCACAGCTCTGCTAAGCAGAAGCTTCTAAGAGCAGCTGCAGGCAAGCTGACTTCTACAGAGGCACTTCTACAGATGCTCTTCCACAGCTCTGCTGCATTTACCAAGGCTTCACATTGCAGAGGACTCACTGGCAGGAAATACTTGACTCAAATTCATGGTCCTACCTAGACTGCAGCTTTGTTTCTAATTTCTAACCCTTTTCAGAAAACAGCACACTTGCATACTTGGTGTAGAGGCACCTGTCTAATTGGCAGCTTCAGCCTGGTAGATCTGAGACTTTACTGGAATTTATGAATCAAAGGGTTGCCATTTCTTTCCAGTTCAGAAGAAGAACCCCTGAGATGTCTCTGCCCCATATTTCACCTATTCTAGGAACACGGTATTAGGAAACTGAAGCTTTGTCTGCGCAGAGTTGGCTGGGGTTAACAGTTCAGGCTTTTTCCTGTGTACTGTGTAGCTGTATTCACACAGGCTGCACCTCAGCTAATAATCCTGACAGTATATGGCTGGTTCTACACATAGTCAGCTCTTTGCCAGACATGTGTCACAATTTATCTGCAAGCAATATAATCCCCTGCCCTCACTCTACACAGTAAATCAAGCATGCACTATATTTTTACTTCCTCAACAATAAAACATATTTCTTCTTTTTATTCTCAAAAAAGGAATGTAATCAGTGTCATTAAAAGTGAGGGCATTTTAACCAGAAATAGCATTTGGCTGATAAGTGTCTGCTGATTCCAAAAAGCTAGGGAGCTGTACCTCTGAGTTGTATAAACTGCTGGATGGTGATGTCATTTCAGCTGTGTAATGGTTTACAGATGTTCACGGAGGTCACAGTGCTGCCTGAGACAGAAGGTAGGAGCACACAGGAAATACTGAACATCAGAGAAAAAAGTCGGACTTTACAGCCCCACACTGATTTTTCTTACCTTACATTCTAACATTTAGGGGAATTATAGCTTTGATGTTAGTGGTGATTTATAATTTCAGAACAGCAGCTAATGCAAACCACCACTTTTAAATAGACAGCAAATGAATGTGTAGGTAATGGAAAAGAATAAGGGGAATTACTCTTACACAGAGAATTAAGCATATATATATGAGTGAGCCTGTCTAAACACTTCCATTATTTATAAGAACATGATTTTTATTTCATATTCACATTTTCTAAAGAGACTTGCAATATTTTTTTACAGGATGTTGAATCCGGTTCTGAAAGTGGAGTGGATGTTGCTTCAGTAAGTCAGTTACAAACAAACTTGTCTCCTAACATCCATGTTCCCGATCTAGCATCTCCCTGTTCTGTAGCCAGCTCTGGAGCTAAACCAAAGGCTGGGGTGAGTATAAAGATTATATTTTCTTAAATTCACTCATGATATCAGGTTGGAGTGAAATAAAAGTATTTTATACTATTCATTACATGGATTGAACAAGAGTATATGTGTGACACTGAAAAAAGGGCTAATAATGCAAGTTGTCTCAAGATGCCATTTGAGTGGCAAACAATCCTAGAAGTTTCACATCTAGAAACACCCTGTTATCAGCTGATTATTATAATAAGCTGAGTTTTTATGTGAGAAAATAAAGGAGCTATTCCACTTTACTTAGGAAGGTAAGGTTTCCTGAAGTTCTATCACCTGAAACATTTCATAAATCTCATGGAGGATGCAGCCAGAGAAAAAGATGGTTGAATTATGTAGCCTGATTTATGATGCCAGTCACCCTAGTCATCTTGAGAGGCTAAACTGTTGTGTACTGCAAACAGAGGTATTACCCTACTGAAGGGAGAACATCATTCTAAGGCCAAATTTGGCGAGTGTTTTCACACATTGAGGACCAGAGGGAAGCCCCTGAGCAGGCAGACCCTTTCCTGCAGGTGCCAGTTCGTGCTCGGTGGTGAGGAAGGGCAGGTCCAAGAGCTCAGCTGTGGCAAGGATCCTCCTTCTGTATCCATTCATAGATACATATAGTTGTCAGGAGCATGGTCCTTTCTTTTGCCATTGTCCATCTACTGAAGAATCCTTCATAATGCTTCAGCTGTCAGAGTGTGCAGAAAAGTTTGGATGTCCTAGAAACTCCTGATATACTTTCTGTTCCCTCTTGCACTTGCTGTTTCCACTCCCTTGAGAAGTACAGAAATCTAGACTCCTCTAAACTTTGCCTGGACTGAAAAGTCTTATCATAACTCCAGCTCCATCTGTTCACAAATTCAACCACTGCTGGCAACCAGACCAGCAGAAAATCTGGGATAAAATATTAAAATATAAAGTGTGGCTAGCATAAATATATATGTTTATAACAAGTATATAAAAAGTAAAATAGAGGCCAACTGTCACTTACTACATTGTAATAATAGCAAGTTAACTAATGACTCCGATTGAGGCAGTAACAAAAGTTCTAATAAACATTTACATTTAGGATTGTTCACTTGTACAAAAATAAATTCACTTATAATTTATCATCAGTGCATAACTATAGCAAATAGAGAGCTCTGCACTCTGTCATTGTGTACAATGCAGCACAAATTCTCAAATAAGTACGTTTGTTATGCTAGAAGGTGATATCCCATTTTGCCAGATCCTGAGAAGAGCACAGATACTCTCTAAGGTATTAAATATCGCTTTTAAATTTAGGTTTCTCTACTAATATTTGGGGAACTCTTAACACCTGGATTTGCAGAAGTGTGGGTCACTTCCTTTAGAGTTAGATATTATGTGTTAATTCACTTTTAATTTGACTTTTGATGTGATAACACGCTGAACATATCTGCAAATAATGCTTCATTATATAATTTCTAATGTATATGATTTTGGAGAGATCCTTTTTCTTACTTTGACAAGTAACTGTGAATATTAAAAAAAATCTCTGCTAATGTGTGGGTTGTAGGGGTACAATATAGAGTACACTTTTTAGACATTTTTTTATAAGTGAAGCTAAATTTTCTCCAAACTCAACTCTCTTCCTTAAAGTTTGACAGACTGAAACTCACCACACTCTGTAGTGGAATTTGGGAATGGGCTCTTTTTAGTAACCATGTTCAGACAAAGATCATATTTTTATCATAGTAGGTTTAAGTAGAAGAATGTGGATCATTTTTTTCTTGAGTGTAGACCTCCTGCAAATTGGGAAAAAATGAGATCTTCTCAGATATTTTTTTTTATTCCTTTTGAGTTTGGGCTGTCAGTTTGTTTTGACTGTGTACTCTTCTGATCCACAAACTGAGTGCTAATGTGTGCTGTGACTTCAACTGTTCAAAATTTCAGCTGCCTCCCTACCTGCAGTCAAACTTTATTTGAAAGTGTAAGTTTTCTTGGAACACACTAAGAGAAAATGACCCTTCGTTCTTACCCTTGTGTATCTCTACTACGTTGTTCAACTGATCTGCATGGCTAGGTTGTCTGCTGCTAGGTACTTGACTGCAAATCCATACTATTAGAAAAGAAGTTCCCGTATTCTTCTTCTTGTGTTTAGCATTGGGCTCTACTCAGGATGAATTTTTAAAAGTGGTATATTTAATGGCATGTCCTTGAAACACTGCCCAAAACAGACATCAGGGATATCTCTGTACAGATGATTTCCACATACAGATCTCCTGTGAAAAATCCTCAAAATGTGGTGTTCTATCTGTAAGGGTTTCTGTTTTCATAGTTTCTTTGGGTTTTTTTGTCAGACTATCTAGTGTAGGAATATGTTTTTTCTGCACTGGAAACTCAGCAAGGTACTTTTTAATGATAATGGACTGTTTCAAAGATTTTATTTCCTTTTTGGTGTTTGCAACTCAGATCTTCAAGGATTCCAGATGCTTAGTCTCCAAGGACAACTTATTTTGTTGTGTTTATTAATAATATGTAAACAGGAGTACAACTGTAGTTACATTATGGAATGATATGTGGTATTTTTAAACAAACTATAGCAAACAGTTGACTGCATCAAAATCAGACTCTACAATTAAAACACGATATCACGTGCAGACTGGGAGGGTGGGAATAATAAGGCAGGAAGATACGGCTTTAAATCTAGTCCCTGATAAAGAACTCGTAAAAGATATCAACTACACAAGATCTTATCTTGCTGGTAGGAAATTTGTGTATAGACAAACTATGTTCATTCATGTTAATTCAGCTTAATATGGATTTAAAACCAAAAATTTTTAACAATGTCACAATGTGCTGGGATATCCATAAGCAAAATTTGGTTTGGTAATCCTAGTGGAAATTATTTACCCATTGGATTATAGAAAAGTCAGACATTTTAAATTTTGATGGGCAGATTTTATGAAATGTTAAACACAACTTCCAGTAGCAGAGGTATTCAGAATTGTATTAAAAATTCTTTGTAAATTAATAGTAGATATTCTTTTATAATAAAATTAGGAGCGGGTGGGTGTATTTACATACACAAGTTATTTAACATTTCATTAAAATTCACTTATGGATGGTCAAGCCCATTCTTGTCAGTGTGAATGCCTGTGTACAGTGCATATATATATATAAGCATGCAAATGCATGCACACACAGGCAGACAATTCCTTGCTGAATACAGGCATGACAAGGAACAACAGGATTCTCCCCAGAGCATTATAGAAAGGTATTTCTATGGAAAGGTTTTTCTATGATTCTGCAGGGTGCAGCATGAAAGCTTTTGATATGCAGCGGTACATGATATTTTGGACTTATGAGAAGTATACAAATGAATAACCTTCATCCTAAATTTAGGATGTCACCATTATATTTCATGGTCAGGGTAAAATAACATAATGTGATCAATAGAGTGTTTGGTCTGTGTATGTGTTTGGCAAGGTACACAAATGGACAATCCTTGTGAAATAAGGATTCACATTTACAGGTACATTTCCCACGTAATTTAGGATTAGATAATAAGAAATGGTTTTGGCATCTTTATAGTACTTATGTTTACAGAGTAAAGAATGTTTATGCTTCTATAATTAGCACAAATCTATATTCTGGGTTTTTACTCACCAGTCTCCAGAATACAATGATTTTGGAATATTAACAGAGATATACACTTGGCAAACATTAATCACATAAGATTTGAAATCAGTTTAAAAAAATACAAAATCAACAGGCTTTTGCTCCAGTGGTCATGAGAAACACTGGAAAATGGGAGTGTCTGGTCTGGATTTGGAGAACAGGGAATGTAGATATCCTACATGTTGTTACCTTCTACAAACTAATGCCACACATTTGAACATTTATAACATCATTCAACAATAAAGACCAGAAACAATTTGTTTTTAAATTTGGCTTGATTATTATAAAAGAAATAGGTGGCTACAGAATTTAAAATGTATTTTAATAACAAAAGTTAAGTTATAATAGCCTTCTCCATTGCCCAGTTAAAAGCTAACTAGTTAAGGAAAGCTTGAATCAATTATCATTGTCTTTTTTTTTTTTTTTTTTTTTTCCCTACGTATCAAAAATTGGCTAAAGGACAATAGCAACTAAGGCTTAAAAGTTGTGGCCAAATTTTTGTCCTTGAACATCTGCTCTGCAAAGCCTATCTATTTTCTGTTCAGGTGAAAAAAAACAGCTGTGATTATTTTCTACTGCTTTTCTTGGCAGTCCTATCCCTCTTGTTTCAACAATGTCCAACTTAATCTTAATCATACTGTCCAAAGGTAATCAGAAATCTATTATCACCAGAATAGTTAGTATCTGGAAGAAGATTGTTTTTCAGATTAGCTGTAATGACTCATTTAAAATGCATTCATTTCTCAAAGTGATTTTAGGCACCAGTTATGCCTGCAAGTACAAAATGACCTAGTCTGGCTGTACACTAGAATGGGATTCAGGTGCAGCTACTGATTTCAGTGAAGCCCTGGATGAGTTTAGGAGTCCGCTTTCACAAATCTTATTACTGGATTGAGATGAAAGATTGTATTATTTAGATGACAGTTTTGCAAACTGTTCATTTGTATGTGCTAAAATCATTTAGCCTTTCACAAATGCTTTTGATTCGCATTATATTTTGAAGTTACAGCTATTTAAAGAAAACCAAATCACTCTGTGAAGAATAACTAATAGATTCGTGGGTTAAGAAAGAAAGTTCAGTTTTCTTGCTACTTTACCTGCACTGGTTTTTAACTTATGAAAAAAGCTAAAATTTATGGTAAGTACAATTAAACCTTGATTTCAAAATTAAATATTCATAAATAAGAATTATCAGGGTAGCATTTGTTTGAAATGTTTATATTTTCATCTGCATTGTGTTTTATAGTAAATTCAATGAACTAAGAAGTTTGTAAACACACACAGAATACAACAATGAATTTGTGCAGACAGATTTTTCACAGTTGGGGCATAACACTTGAAAGGTG